TTTACTTCCCATGATTTTACCTGTTACCAGTTTTTAGGCTTGGTTGACTTGGGAGCCAATGTTAATTTTTGGAAACAAAATCGGCCCGATGCGGATTTGAACCCATGAACTCGGGCTGTGGGCGAGCGTATAACAAACAGTAAGGACAATAGAAAACAGTTTATAGTATCTATCCAGGCCGGCAGTTATTATTTACATTAACCAGAGCACACAACTAGAAAGCAAAGAACTATAGGCCAACCCCTACAAAATTGCAGTTACAGTAAACAAAGTATGTTTGTCGATGCAGCATTAGTTGTGCATTGTAATTTGGTACAGCTGGCAGGTACTTGGGTGTTTTCCGCATGTTTACAGTTTCACAATGCCACCTCAGCGTTTCACAGTGTTACCTCAGTGTTTTACAATGTTACCTCAGTGTTTTACAATATTACCTCAGCGTTTCACAATGTTACCTCAGCGTTTCACAATATTACCTCAGTGTTTTACAATATTACCTCAGCATTTCACAATATTACCTCAGCGTTTCACAATATTACCTCCGCGTTGCACAATATTACCTCAGCGTTTCACAATATTACCTCAGCGTTTCACAATATTACCTCAGCGTTTCACAATATTACCTCAGCGTTTCACAGTATTACCTCAGCATTTCACAATGTTACCTCAGCGTTTCACAATGTTACCTCAGCGTTTCACAATATTACCTGTGTTTTACAATATTACCTCAGCATTTCACAATGTTACCTCAGCATTTCACAATGTTACCTCAGCGTTTCACAATGTTACCTCAGCGTTTCACAATATTACCTGTGTTTTACAATATTACCTCAGCATTTCACAATGTTACCTCAGCATTTCACAATATTACCTCAGCGTTTCACAATGTTACCTCAGCGTTTCACAACATTACCTCAGCATTTCACAATATTACCTCAGCGTTTCACAATATTACCTCAGCATTTCACAATATTACCTCAGCGTTTCACAATGTTACCTCAGCGTTTCACACTATTACCTCAGCGTTTCACAATATTACCTCAGCGTTTCACAATATTACCTCAGCGTTTCACAATGTTACTGCATTTCCCCCATGCCATTTACATATGAGAAAACTCCCTCTGTGGTTTTCAGTCTCCCATTGTGTAAAAAAAAAAGGGTGGAGGAGAATAGATCCATAGCCTCCCTGGCATGCATCTCGTAAAAGTTAACCAATGAGGACTTCCATCGAAGTCGAGTGTATCTGCCTGAAATGCAAGGAACCAACAGTCTGCGTACAAATAAGCCAGATCTGTAAAACGTATGTGCACACAAAACTCAAATTCTGGAACGCGATTAAAGTCCAGAATTGGAGGAACAGCCAGAACTTTCTGTCGGAGTTTACAGCCGGTGAACGGAAGAAGAAGGAATATATATATATATATATATATATATATATATATATATATATATATATATATATATATATATATATATATATATATATATATATATATATATATATATATATATATATATATATATAAAGTATCCTGCTCAAAGCAATAGAATGAAGTTATAAAAGAACCTAGTCGGTTTTGAAAAATGATCGTCCCTGTAAAGATTGATAGAGGTTTGACACCCTGACGTTACAAAATCTGAGTAGATAGCAGACCAGCAGTGTCGAATCTCAGATACCTCGTTCAACCCACACAGAAGTTATAATAAAAGCTCATGTAACCGCTACAGTAGGCCTGGGAAACCCGCAGTCTTGTGTGGATAAGGAGTGTCAGTGTAACGAGCACGCAGACGCTGGTGGTGGGTTAATGTTTCCAACCGAAATCGCTGTCGGCAGGATGAGAATTACACAGGAGCAAATCTCAGAAACCCAAAGTTCAGCCGTGTTAGACTGTATATTAAGGTACCCTTACGACTACAGGTAACCGGTAGTGTCCGGTAGGTAGTCCAGGGCGGGAACTGAAAGTGAGAGGGAGACTCAAAGGTGGGCACTCTGGCGCTATTTATACTTGACACCGCAGTTTTTTTTTTTTTTTTTTGGGGGGGGGGGGGGGTGCAATTTAGCACATTATTATTATTATTACACACTTGAAGCGCCCTCCCACAGGAAAATTTGTTGGGTGCTCAGAACATCCCCCCCCCCCTTCTCCCAAATGGATAACAGGTAAAGGCGGCCGCCTCAAGTTGACCACCCGTCTATGGCCGATTGGTAAATGCCAACACGAGTCTGGCTTCATACTCCGATTCTTTTGTCTTATAATTGATGACCCTCGCGGTTATCCAAGTCTGTTGATACATTTCTTCACCTCTTTTGAATCCAACATATAAACGAGCACAAGTTACAGTGACATCAAATGACCGAGCACAACAACAGTAACTAGGAGACAGCAACCGGAAATGCATGCAGGCCTTTCTGACTTCACTGCCTGTTAGTACCACATTTTACGGAATTTGTTAAATTAGGAATCGACATTACAGCACTGGGGATGCCCCCATAAGCACTCCGTCCCCATCTTCAGCAGCAAGTGAAGTTAACATTCTGATGGTACCAGTAACTGTCTGATTGTATATTCTTCTCCCTTTTTCCCTGAGTGTGGAGCGTCGGCCAGATCCCCTTGTAACTCCTCGCAGTGCCATTATCCTCAGACCGTAATGATCTGTCTGTGCTTCGGCACTGTTCACTCGCTCCCAAGGAGCCCTCCCAACATCAAGCTTGTCATACATCAATTCACCATCAGGTGGTGCAGAACCGGCTAGTCTATCTGCCTGTTCATTTCCCAACACATCGGCATTACCTGGAGAAAATATCCAAAGGATGATAACTACCCCGGATCTCTGAAGTGATGCTTGCCACTCTTTACGAAGCATGCCAGCCTCCACTTTTCTCAGCGTGCTTTGTGAGTCAGTTACAATAACGGCATGTGTGTACAGCTGATTCTCAAGCCAGCGGTAGGCAGCAGTGACTACCGTTACCTCCATTCTCAAACTAAACGTTGTGATATCTTATGCCAGGCTTTGTAGCACCAAGCGATGTCCATTTGCTTTCGCAATGAACCCCCATGCACTTCTTCTGCTCCTCAACCAGAGCCATCTGGATAGACAATCACATCACCTGGACGGGAATTGTCATGAATCATTTGTTGAACTTCTGATTCTGCAGCACCAGCTGACCAGTCTCTGCACTCACGTCCCAAAGTGATTAGAACCCTACACAAATCTGAAACTTGATCAGACACTTTGACCCACTCCTCTTCTCGCCTAAATTTATCAAGCCTGCACATATTTCCAATTGTGTCTTCAGTTTGCGCCATCCATGACTTTCCTCTTTTCAGTCTGTGATCCTTAGCTCTTTCCAGGGCTTCATGCAGGAAGGAGGTGCCTCTTGTCCGCAGCTACTCTGAGATATGACATTGCTTGCAGAACTTTGAGGCTATCTGCAAAAGTAGGCATTTCTAGTATATATCGCATACATATAACCAGGGTATATCTTGTACATCCCAGAATTACCTGCATGGCTTCATTCTGAATGCGTTCAAGTTTTATCAGCATTTTACAGGGTGCAAGAAACAGGGCAGGGGTTTGAGCCTCATGAGAGCTGCATAGATAGTGCAGTTGCCACAGACTGTCCAAGTTACGATTTTGCTTTTGCACTTCAGAGGGCGGGGGGGGGGGGGGTGCATGATGCATCTCTTCTTACTGAAGATGTGAGATTGGGTCTCCAGAATGAGAGGCCAGAGCTGTTAACCGCTGGGCTAGCTGCCATACAGTCATCAAGTAATCATTTCGTCTGCGGTTCTATGTTTTCAATGAGCACAACAACAGGAATACTGTACTCCAGATACAACAGTTCTCGCCATTCTCTGCATTGATGATATCTGTAGTAATTAGTATATTGTCTGTGGCTTAGAAGTTGCAAACACGGCTTGAATTTCCAAACTACCGCGTTTGATTAAAGCTATGGTCAGTTTAGCAGAAAGCCGCTTTGCGTTGATTTCACAATGATAATAGGCCCGCTGATTGTTCAGTAGACAGTGACAATTTACTGAATGTAAAAGTTGCTGCTTCTTCTTCTTCTCCTCCTCCTCCTCCCCTCTGTATAAATAAGTGCAACAGTTACTGTTAACACACAGTATAAATAAGAGCAACAGACACAGTTAACACACAGTATAAATAAGTTCAAAAGTCACTGTTAACACACAGTATAAATAGATGCAAAAGTCACAGTTAAAACACAGTATAAATAGATGCAAAAGTCACAGTTAACACACAGTATAAATAAGTGCAACAGTCACAGTTAACACACAGTATAAATAAGTGCAACAGTCATAACTGATACAAGGAATAGAAAACGTGCAGAAGACATAGTTAAGACTAACACTCTTGTGAAGACCATAGTGGAGGTAATAGTTAAAGGCAAGAGGTAGGTAGTGATACCAGTGGGAGGGCAACATCGAGAGAGGAACACACCAGTCTGATGCAGTGCACAACAAGGCAACAGACACCACTTGCTATAGATCCATTGCAACCAACTTTCACTGTGGAAAAGGCACCTAGTTGATAAACAAGTGCAAAAGAGAAACCTCTTCTTTATTTGAATTTGACTTTACTTGTGAGGAAGAGAAAACAGCACAATTTACATTTCATTATTGATATGAGTAATTTCAGTGTTTATTTTTGATTTTAGTGAACAGATGTTTATATGTTTATATTTCCATTTTTCCAGGTTGGTTTGCCACTGAGAACTTATTATTGGCCATCCCAGTCCACAAGATAGAATAATTTTCCACCAAAATTGATTCAAATGCAGCTCAAGTGAATCATAAATTATTTTATTGATATATATTAACTTCTTGAATATGACAAGCTCCTTGCTGTTATTAGTTGAACATTTTGGCTGCTCTGATCATTCGAGGAGAAATGGTTATTACTGTTTGGTTTTGAAAAGCTGAATTCATTAGGAGAAACAAAACTATATTGACATATCCATCTTTGATAGTGCTTTCGTCATGCTGGAGCTGTTAACCATGTTTCGTCCTTTTGGGAAATGGCAAGTTCTTCTGGCTATCTGCCTCTTTGATCTGGCCTTCATATTTGTACAAATCTCTAATATGGACCTGGGCGGTTCCCAGGAGCGCCGGCTGAGAGAAGTCCTGGTTCAGCAAGCAGAAGTCGTCGAGAGTATCCGTGAAACAACTCAGATCTTGGAGTCCTTATACAAGGCTGCTTTAGGGAGGGCGGAAACTCTGGAGTCGCTAGAAAAAGGCATGGATGAGCTGGAGAGACAGATCTTAAGAATCAAGGAACACACGATAGGGGTCAATGTGACATTTTTGTGATACTAGCTGTGTTTGGTGAAGAAATGTGATACATCTGTGGTAGTTCTGACCACCACAGCTGTTTAATGTGCCTTGTGATGGTGGGTTGTTTATCTGTTAGATGATGAACTGTGATTAATGGGACTGGATAAACTCAGCCAGGAAATGACTGCAACAGGAGGCTTCAGGTCATCAGAGGAGGAGTCATCCCTTTCACTGAGTTTCATGCAATTATATTCTTCACACTTGAAAGATAGGCCTAACCAGATCATCACTGTTTGTTGATCTGATTTTCACAAGCTCATTGCAGGATTGTTGGATACATTTTGTGTTAGTTACAAGGATTCCAGGACTCTGGATGTGTTTTTGTGTGTACATGTGTGCATACATGCAGACATACATATGCATTTATATATTTCCAAATCTTTTTCTATAATACGTGATAGATTTGTATGCTATCTTCCCCTCCCGCTTCAATTAGTTCAGCTGGTGTCACATCCTGGTGATTTACCATTTTTCAGGTTTTTTACTGCCCATTCAGTTTCTTCTGTCTCTGCTGTCATTGGTTCATTTATATCCTTCATATCATCAACATCATTCATATCATACATTTCACTGCAGTATTCTTGCCATCTTTCTAGATTTTTGTCTAGATTCTGTCAAGGTATTTCGCAACTTGTCACAGATAACATTTAATCGAGGTTGAACATTTCAGAATCTCTTCCATTCTTATGATATTGCTCAGTTTAGTACAACAATCATATATATGTTGGTTTTTGTTCCTTTCTTGTGCTCTTTCATTTTTCTCGGGTTGAAGATTCTTACCTCATCTTGCTTTTATCAGATTCATCTTGTAATGATGCTATAAATAGGGATAACGTCAGGGTATGACTGGCATAATTGGGTGAGTCCCTGATAGCATGGGTTTCACAGGGATATGGTGAAAAGACAAGAGTGAGGGAGTATGCGAGATCTGGGGGATTGAGAATGAGGTGGTCATTCGATGACTGGGCCCCAGATTGGAAGGATGTGAAGCTGAATCTGTGAAGGTGAATCCAGAGTGAGAAGTGCACAGGTGGATCTGAATAAGAGCTGAATAAATGTTAGTGCTGAACGACAAAACAGGCAGCACTATTGAATGATCGTTTAGGCCAGCCGTTGTGTTTCACGTTTTGTTTGTTGAGCCAGCCGTGTATATGCCAGTGTCCATCGTCTGAAGCATGCTAGAGACTCAATGCGAGGCAAGATTGCCCGAATGGCGTAAGTTGGTTCATCTGTTGATTCGTGTCTTGTGCTACCTTGACAATAAACCTGTGAAATGTGTCAGCTGTTGTCGACCGTCATTTGAAGTTGTGTGGCCGTGGAGAGAAGTGCCGTCTGACTAGAATGAATTGTGACCTAACACCTAGACAGTGGAGTCAGTATTGAATCTACACTAGAAAGATCAAGTGTGGAGGAGACACATTACATTCATTAGTACAGTCATTACACATCTCCTTTCTTTTCAGTTCCTTTCGTTGAGTTTCAATTCTAACGTTTTTGCTGTAATCCGTGGATTATGTTGCTTAGTCCTGATCAGAATTAAATCTTTGGCCTCTGTTATCAAGATATCTTTAGCTCGTATTGCCAGTTCATCAGGTGACATTTAATCACGTACAGACATCAAGACCCCAAAACGATTCCTCACTTCTATATTGTATGCATCTGGTATTTTTGTGAGATCAAAACTAAGGGGCCTTGGCCCTAGGGTAAGCTTTTTGAATTTTAATTTCATATTCTGCTTCTAATAACTGATGATCTGCATCACAGTCTGCACTTCATAGGGTTTTAGCAGATTTTATGCTTGATCTCCATTTTCTTTGTATTAAAATATAATCTATCTGATTTTTGCTAAAACTGTCCAGAGCCTTCCATGTGAAGAGTCTTCTTGGGTGTTGTTTAAAAAATGTATTGGCTATGGTTAACTAATGTTTTCTGTGCTAAATTCCATTAACTTGTCACCTGCATCATTTCTTTTTCCCAATCCAAATTTTATAAAACAAATCTCTCATTTTCTGCTCTTCCTATACCTACTTTAGCATTAAAATCTCCCATTATTATTGTTATATCATTATGACCAGTCCTAATTAATGTGTTGTGCAGTGAGCTGTACAAATCTTTAATTTAATCCTCCTCTGCTGATGAGGTAGGTGCGTATATCTGTATGAGAGTAATGTTTTTTGGACGGCCTTTAAATCTGGTGCTGAGGATTCTGTCACTAACTGGGTTATATCCTTTAAAAGTTCTTGCAGTTGTTTTGTCTAAACAAAATGCCACTCGACTTTGGCCTCTGACATCTCTACCAGAATGTATGAACAGACTTCCATTTTCAGTTGTAAAATGTTTTTTGCCTCTCCAGCAATGTTCACTAATTCCTAAAATTTGAATTCGAATGACATATTCTTGCATGATTTAGTGTCACTTTTCACACCTATCTAAATTTCATAAATGTGTGAATATCATGATATATCAGGATTACATGTCTAATTGTTATCTGAATCTTCTTGATACTCTCATACCTGAATTCCCTGTGTCACTTACATCTCCTGGTGCTCTTATGTCCATTATCTACTTTCAGTAATGCCCTTATGTCATAATAATATACCATAATCTGTGTGCACTTTGTCTGAAACTCTTTATACTTTCCTGCTTGAATTCCGTGTTTCATCTGTGTTCCTTAACATGGTAAAGCAGAAATTTATAATTGATGTCTGAGACTTTTGGTGCGCTCATGCCTATATTCTATGTTTCATTAATGACTGAATGTCATGATTTTAAAGATGTGTGACTGAGTTCTGAAACTCATGATGATGCTCTCATGCCTGCATTTCATGTTTCATTATCTGAATCTCATGAAACACTCATACTTGAATTCCATGATCACTCAGTGTCATGTCATTTGATGTTAATATATCATGTTTCTTAGCATCATCTTCATCATCATGTGTCTTGCCTGTAAGAATCATCAGAATCATGGATCATTTCAATTTCTGTCCCCCCCCCCCCCCCTTTTTCTCCTCCTTCCATCAGGCCAGGCCATCCATGTTTTATCTCTTTGCCCTTTTGCAACCGTCAGTCATGCCAGTAGTGACCAAGTTCTCGAATCCACTCCTCATCACATATCATCTTTTACTCATGCCTAAATTCCATATTTTATGAGGAATATGATTGTATTTTACCCTGAAGCTTGTTGGTAAACAACTAATTTGTGTCTGAAGTGTGTAAGTCATGAGGATTATGATTGTTTTTTACCCTGAAGCTTGTTGGTAAACAACTAATTTGTGTCTGACGTGTGTAAGTCGTGAAGATTATGATTGTATTTTACCCTGAAGCTTGTTGGTAAACAACTAATTTGTGTCTGACGTGTGTAAGTCGTGAGGAATATGATTGTATTTTACCCTGAAGCTTGTTGGTAAACAACTAATTTGTGTCTGACGTGTGTAAGTCATGAGGATTATGATTGTATTTTACCCTGAAGCTTGTTGGTAAACAACTAATTTGTGTCTGACATGCGTTAGTCGTGAGGAATATTAGTGTAATGTAGCATGAAGGTTGTTGCTGACTGTATATGTTTTTCAAACGGTTTATAAATTTTGAGATTGATGTTGAGGGAAAGTACAAGCATTGGAAATTAGATCTTTTGATAGATCAAGGTATTTTAACAACCAATGATAAAGTTTGCTGTATCATCAGTGCCAGACACTTTAAAGAAAAAGACAAAGTGATATTTTATGGATGATGTGATTAACATGCCATTCGCTTCCTAGCGTATTTCCTGGCACCAATTTTGGGCTGGGTTGTCGAGGGAGCAAAGGTCAGGTATATAATTTGTGTGTGTGTGTGCACGTGCATTTGTGCATTCGTGCATGCGCGAGAGAGAGAGAGAGAGAGAGAGAGACTGATTACTTATTTAAGACTCAACATCATAGTACACCGGGCATACCCATAGATGCTTCGTCTCAGCAGTGAATATCCTAAGATTTAGATGCTAACTGTTCTCATAGCACACTGATTATACACACGTATTTCTCTTCCTCTCAAACGTCCCTCCTTACCAACTCCTGATTCAACATTCACACATTTGTACACACGTTATTTAATCTGCCCTTGTGTCTTCTATCAGCATTCATTCATAAATGGTCTTCAGAACCTCTCTTTTGCTAGGTAGGACTGTTCCTGTGTTCCTGTGGCTATCACTTTTATTGCCCCCAAAAATCCACTCGTCAATCCCTCACACTCCTATGTGTCTCTGAAATATTGTTTGCTGATGTTTGGTAACCACTCATGCCACATTTATTCATCTTGAACCTTCAACGGTATCTGCAGAGAATCAGATTATGAACTGTAGCTAAGCACATAACTGAAGTACCAAAAAAATGTGATGCAACAAAATTAACAAGTGAACCTTCATTCCATATTTCCAGTCTGGTCAGCGACCTTCTAGGAACTGATTAGATTTTTTGTAGAATTTCAAAATAGACAGCCCACATTTTCCATGAACTCACATCTCATGAATACTTGATTTGTTTGATATTTGACAGAGAAAAGCCAAATTCGGGTAGTTTTTCTTGCTGCACCTTACGTTGCTGTGTCAATATATCTTCTTTTATTTTTATAATTCTGGATTTTAATAAAGTTTTAGCAGTTTAGAGGATAGACATTTAGTACTTACAAACATGAAGCTACTGATAAGTTTTAGCATTTATGTATAACTTTAAACAAAAATGTCTTAGCATTTAGTATGAAACTGTTTAAAAGTTTTAGCACTCATCAAACACCAAACTTTTTCTGAGACTTTTGCATTGATTAAGCATACAGTTATTTCAAATTTTTTAGGACTACCAAACAGGAAGTCATTTCAACCATTTTAGCACTTGTCAGAGTTATTCCAAAGATTTGTGTGTTCACAAACATGACTTTATTAAAAATATATTAACAGTTATCAAACATGAAGTTTTCATTTTTTTTTTTTTTTTTTATAA